CTAGACTGATGTATCCATCAAAACTCTCTTTCAAAATGGATGGGGTAGTAAGATACTTCCAAGACAAAGAACACCTGAGAAACTATACGAATACCAGACCAGCACTACAAGCAATTCTAAACAAGATCCTAGAAAAAGACAATGAAGGCAACAACACCATGAGGCCCAACAGCAAATCAAATAGGCAAGGCAAGAAATTAAAAGAAGGTGAAAAAAGTAAAAAGAGTCAACAAAAGGCCAATAACATGTCAGTAATAAGTCAGTACATATCAGTTATAACCAGCAATATCAATGGCCTCAACTCACCAATCAAGAGAAATAGACTGGCAAAATGGAATAAGAAGCAAAATCCAACAATATGTTGTATACAAGAAACACATCTAGTGCAAAAAGAAGCCCATAGACTGAAAGTGAAAAGATAGAAAACAATTCTCCATGTGACAGGAACCCAGAAAAAAACAGGGGTAGCAGTCTTATTTACAGACAAAGTAAATTTCAAACCAAAACTGAATCTAGTATTATTGATGCAGGATGGTACTGTATCATACCTCTATGGATGTAAAATATCTAGTACCTGCTTTATGATACATAGTAGGGACCATGCTTTATCAGAGCTACATTTAATGATATTACTCTAGAATGTTCTCTTTCCAGATGATGATTAAGAGGCTAATAGAAAAAAATGGTACCAGGTACCACAACAGCAACAGAACTTCGCTGTTGTCTGGATATTATTCTTTTCTTTGTTTTTTTTTTTTTAATGGAATGTGCTGAATGTCTATAATTTTGTTCAGATGACTGCAGAACCTGGAAAAGCTGTTGCTGCTATCGATGCATAACATACTATTATTAGTCTATATATATATATATATATATATACACACACACACACACACACATACACACACACACACATATATAAATTGAATTTTGGGAAACTTTAACGGTGCTGCCAACTTTGGAAAAAGTCATCCCAATTTACTGTGTTGAGTTGGCATTGTACAGAAATGGACAGCCATATTGGTCTAGAAATGTTAATTTATTTTTATTTTTATTTTTATTTTTTTTCATGTGTACAGGGGTAACACATCGTACTAAATATGTAAGGTCATATCTACGTGGGTTTGATTACAGAAACTAATAAAGTATTCTCTAAATAATGAAAAAAAGAATAAGATAAGACTATAAGAGCGAGAAGCAATTTAAATATGTTCAGGGACCATTTTCATCTCCAGAATTAAGGATTATTTTAATGTTACATCATTGCCTTTTCTCTTTTACTTTCCTTTTTAGTTTTATTTTAGGATTCCCTATTTTTAATGTTCATACAGAGATTTCTTTAACTGAAATACCGAATAGTTTCTTTGGTGTGAAAAACTATAATAGTACACAGGATCCTAATGAGATAATAATGTGAAATAGGAAGTAAAGGGCTAAAGGTGTAGGGAAAGTGGGAAGGGTGGGGAAAGGTAATAAGGGAGAGGAAAAAATATGAGAAACTGAAAAAATGGAAATAAAGTGTTTGTAAATGGGGAGGGGAGGAGGAGGTGAAGGGAGGGCAGGGACAAGGGGAAAAAATGAGAATCAAGACCTATTATATAAAGGTACAGAATCCCAATGATGAATGTAATTGTATTGTATACCTAGATTGTACCAATAAACTCAAGAAAAAAAAGCCCAAGCTAATGCAGAAGCGGTAAGAATCTACCTATTTTCAGTCTGTCCATGCCCAATTTTAACTTCCCTTCTTACCTCCCTCTCTTGTTTTCTGTGTCTTGTTACCTTCTATTCCTCAACTTGAACACATAACTCCTAGTTTTTTGGTGTCTTTTCTGGTGTGAAGGCTTGTGTGTCTACTTTTTGGCCCTTATGATGGTTTCTGTGATGCCAGGCTTGCCCAAGTTAGGGCCAGGGGACAAGTCAGGTAGGACCTGGGCAAGGTTTGGGACAGAATTGGGAGAAATTAGAAAAGGCTGGTTTCTGGTAAGGGCTTTCTGGTCCAAAAGAGTAAGTCTTATGGGGTCAGAATGACTTTTCAGCCCGCTAGTTAAGAGAACACATGTGTTTGTAGTGTCCGTGTGTGTGTGTGTGTTAACATTAATGTTAGGTACTGTTGGTGTTTCTGTTGTGCTTATGGAGGGTTTCCCACTTCTCTGACAGTGTGTGACTGCCATGTGTAATTCAGGCTTGTGTCTTCAGGGATATTCCTTCCAGAGCAGAGGGACCACTTTCAAGTCCACATGACTGGCTTCCCCATCTGTGCTGGCTTTGGGCTGTGGGGGGCTTTCTGGGCTGGTACAGCACTGTGCCTGGCACTGTAGTGCCATAAGCAGTCCCTCAGTTACCATCCTTTGGTCACGAAAAGAACAGCATGTTTTCATTTTGTTGATCTGCAGATATTTGAGAGCCTTCGACATGTTTGGCTCAGGACCGAGCATAGTGAGGGACGTGGAGGGGATCCGGTGCAGACTGACATCACGGGGGCAGGACAGCAGAGCGTGGCATTGCGTGTAGGCTTGGAGGCAGTGAGCTTGGAGAGCTGAGGGCACCTCCTGCCTCAGCAGAACCCTGCACAGTCCAGGGGGAGGGACAGGGTGTGGGGCCACGGGCCCTATGTGTAGCTGCGCCATCCTGGTAGGTTCACTGAAACTGGACCATGCCTTATTGTTCCCCTCTGAAACAGGGAATACTGTGTGGAATGTCCTCTGGGCCCTTCCTTCCTTTGCTCCATGTGTCTGTCGTGCTCTGGAGATTGCGCTTGGTTCGGGTCATCCTTATCATCTGGTCAGTGGCTTTTGCCTCATTCTTCCTGGTGACCACAGTAATTGGGGAGTGGCGCAGAGCTGAGCGTGGCCACAAGTAGCTGGGAATTGTGCGGGACTGTGTCTGCACCTGAGCAGTCCTGGCTGGAGTGAGTCCTCGTGGGTATCGCCCATCGGGACCTGGCTCAAGGTCTGCTTGATTGTCGCTCGGTAGTTAACACTGGGTATTAGCCTCCATGAAACTTGTAGGTCCTCATGAAGTGCCAAGAAGACACTGCTTTTTCTCCTTTCCTCTCTGCTTCCCAGAGGTTGGGCAAAGAAAAGGGCAGCTTTTCAAAAGGAACGTTTATGGTTCTCCTGTCCAGGCAATTAAGAAAGCCCTTCATAGGCTGTGAAAGAGAGGGCCTCCTCTTGGGTGGGTGGACAAGCAAAGGAGAGTCATCCCTGGACAGGGTGTTTGTATCTCCTACCCCAACCCCCTCGCCTACTTCCACCCTGCTTGCTGGGAGGTTAGAGTTGTGGGAGTGGCGGGATGAAAGTTTCAGGTTTCTCTTCCTACCTGTTGACTTCCCTGGGCCCTCGGCAGTCAGAAGCCCTGCTGTAGGCTTCCTTAAGAGATTCCCGTGTGTCTGTGCTGACACTCTTCACCTGGGTCCCACTCCTCAAAAGTCTGGAGAACCCAGTCATTGTGTTTCCAACCTCAGGTAATTGGCTTTCCCAGTTACTAATGGATTACCCTAAAGAGAAAAATGTGAGGAGGAGGAGGGAGGTACGGGCAGTACCTCCTGGCTTTATAATTTGGTTCTTCCGTGTCCAGTGGCTGCTTCCCAGGCTGGGAGTTCCTTGGGCAAGGCAGGAGTGGCTGTTCGGCAGCCCTGTGAGTCAAGAGAAAGCTGGGGTGGTGGGGTGTGTCTCTGGAGGGAGTCCTGACTTGAGGTGCGAGATCCCCAGGGTGACTACTGTGGCTTGTGGGCTTGGGTTTGACAAGTGGATGCCGCCCCTGCAATTTCCTCTGAAGCTTTGATGGCAAGTCAGCAGCCCACGACTGCCTGAAACTTCTCTCTCAGCAGCAACTGAAGCCAGCTTCCCACCCCAGCCCAAGATGCTGGCTTCTTCAGTGGCCTCCCTATGGAAATGTCTCCCCCTGCCACGCTAGAGAGAGTGCGCAGATGATGGGAGGGCAGGTGGAGGAGCTGCTGCCCCACATGCTAACTTGTCATTAGTGTCCGGTCCCCCTCTGCCTTACAAGGCATGTAGGGACAGAGCCCATCCCTGCCTCGGGGCCTCCGAAGGACACACCTGCTTTCAGCTTTCCTGCCTGCCAGTTATGTTTTCAAGCCTGGGTTTCCCGAAGGCTTCCCTCCCCAACCCTCTATCAAAGGAATGGCTGGGCTCAAAGGCCCACACGTTCTAGTCCTAGCACTGTGGCCAGCCCAGGGCCACCCATTACAATAGTGCCTCCCACAGAGTGTGCGCCTCCCCTTGAAACAAAGCTTTGTTAAAACAAGACTATGTTGAGTTTTTAGGGGTTTAAGACACACTGGACAATATGGTCAGTGTGTTTCCACTCAGTTCCTCTGGCAGTATCCTGCAGTACCCGTGGGAGACTCTTCTTGACCCCTGCCCCAGGCCCCAGTGGCCTGGCTGCCTGACCCTCGCATCCCCCAACCTGGAACAGTAGCATTTACTCACCCATGAGGTTGCTCCTTTCCTGTTTGTGCTGTTCTTGGTGCAATGTGTTTACACCCTGCTCTGCGCTTGTTTCCCATTGCCAGATTTACCCAGGCCTTAAACCCTTCAGGAATGTTCCCAGCCACCCCATTTCTGACTAGGCGCTGCCCACCAGCCCCCAACAGCATGTTCTCAGGTGGCCCTTGCCAGGCTGCGGCCCTGCGCTCTCAGGGTTTGTGCTACTACAGCCCCACAGGTTTGCTCTGTGGGCTCAGACTTGCCATCTGTGGGTCTATTTTTATGGTGGGCAGAGAAGACGCAGCCCACTCTGAACAGCTATTCCTGAGCCAGTGGGTCCTCTGGCCAGGAAGCCCTGGGAGGTGGCAGCCTTCTGCATGCTGCATTGTCTTCCTGTGGCTGCTCTGGTCAGTCTCTCTGCTACGTCTCTCCTTCTGACTTAACCCCATGGTTCCCAGGGGATCACACTCTGCATTTCCAATTGTGTAGCCATTTGTGCCACAGCTCTGACAAACCAGATCTAATGCTGCTCTCTTTTTTTTTTGGCAGCTCTTTTGTGACAGGGACAGCTTGTTGTGGCCACTTTTCACCCCTAAGAATCTGGGACCTCAACAGGTAAGAGATTGCAGAACCCACACAGTCCAGTGCAGGTGGGGCAGGGCAGCCTGGGAGGCGGGCGCCAAGAGGTCCTACGGGGAGGCGGGGAGAGGACCCTACCGTGCACCCACTGGCAGCTGCCACGGCGCTGCCTTCTTATGTAGTGCAATCTGTTGAAGTGATTTATAATAGGTAAATAATGTCATGTAGAATTTATGATAAAACAGTTTGGATTTATGGTACCCTTTCTGCGAGGAGTGCTTCACTATGTGGCATAAAAAAATCCTATCCTTGGAGATTATTTTTTTAAATTTTTGAAAATGGCTTATAGAATCTATAAAAATAATTATACGGAGGGCCAGGATTTAGCTCAGTGGTACCACACCTGCCTGGCAAGCACAAGGTCCTGAGTTCGATCCCCGATACAAAAAAAAAAAAAAATTAAACAGAACCCTTAAAATACATCCAGGTTTTGTTCGCAGTTCTCTGCTTTGGCAGGCTTGACAAATTCCTGTCTGCCTACCTGCCATTCTGCTGTTAAAACTATTGAATAACTAGATTCATAGGAAGCTATAAAAGCAGGGTAGAGAAATACTTGTGAGGCTGGGGATTTAGCTTAGTGATTTTGCTGCCTGCCTCACAAGTGCAAGGTCCCAAGTTTGATCCCCAGTACCAAAAAAAAGGGAAAGAAAGACTTGTGTAACATCTTACGTGACATAGTAAACGTCACAGCCAGGAACCGGACCTTGGTGCATTGTGCATGTGTTTGTAACGCTGTGCGATCTTGTCACGTGTGCAGACCCGGCGCTCTTCCGCCAGTCCGGACAGAGACCCCCACACCCTTCCTGCTCACACCTCCTCCCTCCTCCGCTCCCCTCCTCTCTAACTCCTGTTCTCTATCTCTATAATTCTGTCATTTTAAATCAAAATGGGATTGTGCAGTATGATGCTTTTTGAGATTTTTTTTTTTAAACTTAGCGTAATTCCTTTGAAGACCCATAGAAGTGCTGGATGCGTCAGTAGCTCGTTTCTTTTGATTGCTGAGTAGTGTTCCATGGTACAGATGCACTAGTGTTTCTTTCCCCATTGAAGCACATTCACCCTGAAGGATTTTTGTTTGCTTATGTTTATTTGGTACTAAGGATTGAACCCAGGGCCTTAATGTACTCTAACCAAGTGCTCTACACTGACTACATCCCACCCATTTATTTTGTTTTGTTTATGGTACTGCAGATTAGACCCAGAAATTCTCTGCTTCTCAGCTACATCCCCAGCCTCCAGCTCCACCCGCTCCATACTGGGGATCGAATTTAGGACCTTGCACTTTCAGGGCAGGCACTGCACCACGAGTTCCATCCATGGCCCTCCCCCTTTTACTTTTTAAATAGGGTCTCACTAAATTGGCCAAGCAGGACCTGAACTTATGATCCTCCTGCCTCAGGCTCCCAAAGTGCTGGGATTACAGGCGTGCAGCACAATGCATGGCTTTTTTATTTTGAGATAGGGTTTTGCTAAATTGCCTCAGCTGGTCTTAAACTTACTATCTTCCTACTACAGTCTTTCAAGTAGCTGGGATTGCAGGGGTGCACCACCATGCCCAGCTTCAATCTTTGATTATTGCAAGTAAAGTTATTATAAATATTTGTGTATAGGTTTTCATGTGGGCATACATTTTAATTTGGGATAAATACCAAGGAGTCCTTTTACTGGATTATTTGATAAACATATGTTAGTGTTTTACTTGCCAAACTATTTTTCAGAGTATCTTTTACAAGTTTTAAATTTTGATGCCCAAATTATCATCTTTTCTCTTATCAGTTTTGCTTTTGTCATCAAGTCTAAGAACTCTTCACCTAGCCCTCAGCTGCAAATGCCACAATTTAGTAGCAGCTACAGTATGTTTCTCTTATTGGTTTTTTGAGACAGATTCTTGGTATGTAGTACACGCTGGCCTTGAACTCACAGTGATTTCCTGCCTTGGCTTCCCAAGTGCTGCACCACACTTAGCTAAATTGTGTTTCTTGCCTGCCTCCTCCCTCATTTGCTCTGTCTTCTCCTGTTCTCTCCATCTCCCTTGGAAAGTGTCATGTCTTCTTTCTGAAAAATCCTTCCTGTAGTTGATCTCTCCACAGACTAGGCATGGAGATTTCTCCCTGACAGATGTTTGATTAAACATGGTTCTGTCTGCAGTTGTCACTTCTGTAGTCATCAGGAAACTCAGTACTTCACCAAATAGCAGATCACCTTTCTAGGTGGCTCTTCAGGTACGAGAGGCAGATGAACGTCTCCCCTGCAGAACAGGGCTTTAGATGTCAGAACACTTCCGTTCTCCTCTTCCAGGCTGTTTTCTTTCCCAGGCCCAAGTCTAGGTTCTTCAGTAGATCAGTCAGCCACAGCTTTTGGGTGTAAGAAATGAAGACTTTAAAAAAAGAAAGAAATGAAGACTTAATTCCAAGTGGCTTAACTAAGCAGGTTTGTTATTATCTCAGATGACAGAAGTTGAGAGTTGGTGGTTCCCTACCTCCAGACCAGGAGTGCCACGTGCACTCTGCTTCGTGCTTTGCCAACCATGTTGTGGTTTTTGCTCCTGCTTTGAGGCCAGCTCCACCAACTCAAAAGGCAACGATAAAGGAAGAAAGGGAGAAAGATGTGTCCCTGCTGGTGAGCTCCTAAGATGAGGCAGCCTTTCCTAGGAGCCCTAAAGTGACTCCTCACAGCTAATACCCAGAAGTATGTTCCAAGGCTCACCCTAAAGCAAGCTGTGGAAAGGAACAGAAGAACCAGTCCCGTGTCCCCTCCCTGGCCTGAGGAAGAGCCCAGCCTGCCTTCTGCCCTGGCCGCAGCAGGGAAGAGGGCAGCGGTGGTGCAGAATGGGTTTGGTCATCAAGGAAGAATGTGAGGAATGGCTGGGTGTCCCCAAAGTGTTGCTCCTCCCGACTTCAGGACCACTCTCCCTGAGAGTTTCCCTTACTGCTGTGTCTGGTTTTGTCCCTCCGAGTACTGAACAGACTAGCTATGGTCTGCTGAATGGCAGATGCGGTCGCCTCTCATTTTAGACCTACTTTTGTTTTGTGTGTGTGCACTTGCACATACCTGAGATTGAACCTAGGCCTTGTGCATGCTAGGCAAGAGCTATACCACTGAACTACACCCCCAGCCCAGAGATCTACCTTTTAAATTTTTATTTATTTTTGAGACAAGTTCTTGTACGATCCTCCTACCTCAGCTTCCCGAGTGCAGGACTTACAAGCGTGGTCACATCATACTGTTGATAGCCTAGATGAAACATCCAGGGCTCCTTTGGTCTTGAGTCCCTAGGATGCTGCCATCCCGTAGGCTGTGAACCTTGTTCCCATGGGTTTGCCCTGCTCGGCCCCTGCCATGAGCTTTCCCCCTTGAACAGGGCTGGGGCAGAAGGCGCTGTCTGTGGAGGACAGCCTGGGGTGGTGTGCTGGGAAGCTGGGCGAGCTGCAGGAAGAGTGCTGCCCTGTGGCTGGGCAGTGCCGGCTTCTGCAGCTGCTCTGCTGTTTATCAGCCCTGTGACCTTGGGGACCTTCTGGGCTTCAGTTTCCATCGGAGGACTGAAAAATGGGAAACAATCATTCCTACGTAACAAAACTGAACGGAGTGATTGTGGAAAAGCACTCCACACAGTGGCTGGCACCTCAGTGACACAGCTACTCCTACCCCATTATTTCCACATCAATCCCGTGCAGTCTGCTCGAGGCCAGCATACCTGCAGAGAGGAAGAGGTGGCTCTGGCCAGTAGTCAGGCCGTGGCCGCAGATGGGCATTTCATTAGCTGGCACCGGCCCCGGCCTGGGCCTGGGGTGCCCACAGCTGTTGGAGGGGAGGTCAGGGCCACCTCGAGTCAGGGGAACTGTGAGCTGTCTGTGGGAGTTTCAGGTCAGGATGGAGCCCTAAGGCACCAGCTCTTCGAATGTGATTCTTACGAAATCCCTAGACTTCACCAGCTCCAAACCCTCAGCCTGTACTAACCCTAGAATGGACCCAAATGAGAATGGGAGTAAGACAGCTGCAGCCTTGACTCTCAGTGGAGACATGGCTACTGCATCCTGGCCGACCTGTGGGCTCTTCGTGTGGCGGGACCACCCTGGGCCTCTTCTCCAGCCCTCCTTGTCCTCTCCTCAGTCCTGCAAAGAACCGGGCCTTGTAAACATCTGCCCTGCCCTAGTGCAGGCAGTGAGGGAGATGCCCTGGTGGAGGGAATGGACGGACAGGATAACTCTGGATCTGTCTTTCCCAGAGAAGCCTGAGTAGATAATAAAGCCATGTAGAAAATAGGATTAAGGTAATGAGCAGGCAGGGCCAAGTTTGATCTTTCAATAACGCCAAAGCCTGACTGACAGGCAGCCTGCGAGGAGTGCCTGGCCGGCAGGGCTTGGCCTGGCTGCTGTGTGCAGGGCTGGCTGGATTCCTTGCTTTTAACCTGTCACTGCTGAAACCCGAGCAGTGCCTGGCTTTCCTCTTTTATGTTTGTGCTGTGACTTCAGTGGAGGGGGTGCTGGAGGGACAGTTGTGCTTGCATCTGGGTCACCCTGGGAGGGCAGTGGGGGCTGGGGCACTGTACCCCTGCTGGGCACTGTACTTCTTTCCTGAGCCGTCACCCAGGTCTCTCGCAGGTGCCCCTCCACAGGTAGCCTACACTACTTAGGGGGCCGGGGGAGCCCTTTGTTCTTCTCATGGGCTGAGTGGGTTGGGGGGCTGGAGGAGCAGCCCGGCAAACACAGCCACTGCCTGGGTGGCAGAGTGTGGCTGTCCCCATTTCCATCCCTGGCTCTCTGCCTTCTGTCCTATAGCTGGGCACTGGGGGACTGGCCTGAGGACAGGGATTCTGAATATAGAAGATGGAGTCCTTCACCCAGTGGTGAGAGGCCAGAGTGCCGCAGCTCTGGACAGGTAGAAGTCTTCACGTCGTCCCCAACCCGCACCCCGTTTCGATACTGTGGTGACTGCCCACCACTGAAGTAGCCCTAGCTAGTATCTGTGGTCCTGTGAGACCTGAGGGAGTGCTAAAGCCGTCCTGCCCCCAAGCCTGGGGCCTGGAGGAGGCCAGGTCTATCTTGCATCCCCTGCATCCCCAGGGCTCCTGAGTGCGGCACACACCTCCCAGTTGACTGAGGCCTGGGTGACTGTGAGCTGGTAGGCTTCTGGAAGGAGAAGTTTGTGACCCCAGTCCTGGAGGTAGCTGCAGCCCAGAGTCTTCCTGAGGAAAGAGATGAGGGGCTGTGGTGCCCGCACACCCCACCTCAGGAGACCGCTTGCCGGCAGTGCCCCTCACAGCCCTCCTCCACCTGACTGCTGCTCGCCCCGCCCTGGCGAGGGGCCTGTGCCAGCCTGGGCATGGGGAGGAGAATGGGCTACGTGCTGCTCGGCCACCGTCGGGCCCATGCCACCCAGCTATGGCTTTGTCTCTGGCCCTGGCCTTCCACCCCCACCCCACGCGGGGCCTGGCCCTCAGTCGAGCGATTATGGGAATTGCCCCTCTTTAAGGTACCTGCCTTCTCCTTTGAAAGTATTACTGACAGCTTTTTTCATTCTTTTTTTCTTACCTCTTTAAGTAACCCTGTAATTTTTTTCTTTATCCCCCCTTTCCTTTTTCTTTCTTGTCCTCTCTGTCTCCCTGAACTCTTTGAAATTGGCTCTCTGCCTGCTGACACCAAACTGATACTTTGCGTTTCACTTCTCCTTATCCCTTTATGGCAACAGATGTTGAAATTTTGTATCCTTTTATCTGCCGGGCTGCCCCCTTCCTGTAATTACGGCCCCCTTGTTAGCAGTACAAAGTGGGCTGCCCGGCTGCCTGGCCTTTGAGCCATTGTATGGGAACACGTGTGCACAGACGGTTGCTGGGGGTGCACACACACGTGCACGAAGTCCCCTTCCCTCTCACCTGGCTGGGCTGTGAGCGACACTCCTGTGGGTGTCCCGCTCTCCGGCGTCCTTGGGCCGGGGCCCTGTTCCCGTGATTCTCTCCCTGGCTGCCTTAGAGGGCCAGCCTGAGCACCAGGGCAGGGAGAGGTGTGTGGGCCAGGTGGGGATGCCTGACTGGGTACCCTGGGCAAGAGTGTGAAGACCTGACCACCACTTAGACACAGCCAGAAATCCTGTTTGGAAAGTGGGGGAGGACACCTCAAAGCAACGCTCACACTGAGGTGGGAGGATCCAGTAGACACCTCGTAGGCTGCTATGAGGATCCCAGGAGCAGTTCTGTGGGGGATTCAGCACAGCCCTACCTGGTCTAAACAGACGCATGACAGTGGCTTCCCTGCTTCTGCCAGCCTGGGTGTGGCTGCCAGACTGGTTTCTCAGCTCAGTGTGGACTCTGGCTCTGCCTTTTACTGCTGTATGACGTTAAGAAAGTCACTTCCTTTGTAAGCCCTGGGTTTCCTTACCTGCAGTCAGGGGCCAAGAGTGGGACCACCGCTCTCATGCCAGGCCCACACTGCCAACCTCTGCCAGTGCAGCCTGATCGCCTCTGTCCTGCACCTTTGCCAGTGCCCTCACCCGTCACTGCCTGTGATGGTCCCACACTGAAGAGCCAGCCATTCCCCTCACCAGAACTGCCTTCCCAGGTGTCCTCTAGCAGGTTGTGCCTTGTTCCTTGCTTCCGTGATTCCCAGTTCTCTCTCCTGGACCGAAAGCTTCTTGGAGGCAGGCACAATGTCTCCTCGCCACAGCTCACTTCTTGCAGGTTCTGTGAAGCACCATGCCTTGGGTAGAGAAGGTGCTCAGTCAGTGGCTGGTGGGGCAGAGACAGGAGGGAGAGGAAAGACTCCCTTCTTTGTTGTGCCTGGCTTACACCCTCAGGCCATTTGTCCTCTTGGGAGCAGATTTAAGAGGGTAAGCTTTCCCCTTCTCTCCCGAACAGCACCGTTGCAGTTCAGGGTGGCTCGTGTGCACTCACAGGGTCCTGAGGGAGCACTCTGCACGGACGGTGTGTATGGAGGGGACAGGAGGGCTCGGCGAGGCCGACGGAGGGCCAGGGCGGGTGACTCTGTGCCTGGACCTCAGGCTTCTTCCAGATGGGCCGTTCAGGTCTATGTGCAGTGAGCAGCCCCACAGCGGTGGGGTGGTGTGGATTGCCAGGGTTTCGAATTTCCCTCCTCCCTGCTGGCAGGGTGACTAGGTTTCGGGCACTGGCGGTGAACCTCTGGCACATGTGCCACAGCCGAGCCCCAGTGAGCCCCACCTGGGACGTTCAGGTGTAAGGGCAGTGTTGGCATTTTCTGATACGTAAGTGGGTTTTGGGTCGCAGTTTGGGCACTCGGTCTGTAAAAGCTTTGCTAGCACTGGTGTAGGGGACTGGATTCCTTCAAGAGAGACTGTGGTGATGTGGCCCTAGGGCGCATGTGTGCTTCCCCTGCTGGCCCTGCAGACAGTGGGTGCCCCGTCTTCAGCTTCGCCTGGGTTGAGAGCGCATTGCAGTCAGGCTTGGGGAGGCTGGGATGCGAGGCCTGGGCTTTTGTCTGCAGGGTGGGAGTGAGTTTGTGTCCAGCCTTGGCTGTGGTGCTGGGTGGCAGCTGTTCCCACACAAGCTGTGCAGCAGCCAAGCCTGCACCCCCACCCCACCACGAGGCATTCTTAACATTCCTTCCAGAGAAAAGGGGTGAAACATCTGAATTTGGGGGTCACCACATTATACAAATTGCAATCTAATCGTTTTTTACAAGAACACACTTGCAACCCAGGAGGAGGGAGGCGGGGACAGACAGCTGGTTTGGAGCTATTGTTGGGCCAGTGTCTCCCTGCACCATGGCAGTGCACTAGAGTCTTCCAGTTAAATTGGGCCTGGGGTGGGGGCCTCTGAGGGCCCACAGTGCCATTTGTTTGTTTTCCCAAATCAAAGCCCCAGCAGGACTTCCATGGCACCGCTGGGCCACTATTTGAAGAGACAGGCCGTTTCCCAGAGCCTGGCGTGTCCGTTTATGATCTGAACTTAACCTTACAAGCTCTGCACCACAGAGACCACAGAGCCTCGAAGGTCCTGGGTCTAGAGGTAAAAGAAAGTGTATCTTTTTATTGGCCCATTTAAAGTGTGTGTGGCCATTTCAGAGAACCAGAGAGCATGACAAGCCAGGCCGGCAGACCAGGGCACATGGGCTTGTTCTGACCCCTAGTGGGTGGTGGCTGGATGGGGCAGAGCCGGGCTGGCAGTGCCCCTTCGTGCTGCGAGCCCTGGGTCGCCCCACGTGGATGCCCAGCTCACCTTCCTGGGAACCCTGGGGCTGGGTGGGCAGGCAGCACCACGCTGCGCTCCTCCCCGTTCCCTGCCTTTCATCTTCTATTTCAAACAAACATGAAATTACTTCTGCAGATTAAAGGGGAGAACTCCTCACTCATTCCTTATGGCCTCACTAATGGAGGGGGTAGGGCCCCCAAATCTGGAAGGCAGCCCCCACCCAGTATGCACAAATGCGGCACTCCACCCCCACCCTGTCCCAAGGGCTGTCATGGGCTTCTCTGGAGCAAGGTTATCGACCTCAGAACCCCACGGAGAGGCCTGTCTGCTCCCCACCTAGCACGTGGCTGCTGGGGGGAAGGCCAGAAAGTGGGTGGCACGGGGGCCCGGACTTGAGGCCAACCTAGGCCTTGCGCTGCAGAGCAGTAGTGCTGCTTGCTCCGGAAAGGGAAAGGCCCAGGCCCCGCCGGCAGAAGCCCAGCCACTTCCTTCCCTCAGTGCCTTCAGCCTTTGGGAGAACAGCAGTGAGCGCGGTGGGACCTGGAGCTCAAGGCTGCATCTGGGCAGGTGGTGGAAGCCTTGTGTGCCTCGGGCCTTCGGCTGGACACTGCTTCTAGCTGTGCTGCGGAGCCTCGGAGGCCTCACCCGAGTGTCTCCTGTCGGGCAGAGGAGGCCCAGGCGTCAGCCCAGAGGGCACCTCTGCTCCTCCGCTGCCCTCGGGCAGCACAAGTCCATGCTTCCACCCGTCCCCGCCCACAGGGATTACCAGGTGCACTTGATGTTGAGGGGCAGTTGCTAGGGCCAGGGGCCCCCACCACGGTTACTAGGGGTCTGGCATGGGGCGAGGGTCTGCCCACTGCCGCGGTCACGGAGGGAATTACAGTCACAAAGAGATTGTTCTTCTCAGTAATCTGCTCTTGGCCACCGGTGGGGTAAGGGTGGGGGAGCAGGCTGGAGCCCAGCAGGCCGGGGCTGTGATCACAGAGGCGTGCTGGCCCCGGGCTGGGGGCCAGAGGGCCAGAACACCGGGGACCAGCTCGCTAAGCTGCTTTCTCAGCGATTCCTCTCCCCGGACACAAAGGTGTTTGCTTGTTTTAACATCTCCCGGGACGCCCCTTCTCCCTTTGTGTGGTCTTTATTCCCAGTGAGGTTTGAGCCCAGATTACAGGCAGGAATTAAGGCACTGCACACAGCAGCTCAGAACTGCATGGCCTGCAGGATCAAGAAGTATAAAGTGACCGAGTGTGCGCAGAAGGAAGCCGCCCCTTCAGCAAGGCCCATTCATGGCCCGGGAGTGGCGGGTGGCAAGCAGCCTGTGTGCAGGTGTGAGAGAGGGGCTGTCTGTCCCACAGTGAGGCTGAGGCTGGCAATCTGTCAGCTGAGGCAGGAGGGCTGCTCGTCTCTGAGGTGTGGGGCCATCTGTAGGCCAAGTGGGCAGCCGCTCACCTCTGCCCTTGCCCTCCTCAGCGGGAAGCTGATGACACACCTGGGCAGTGACTTCCCCCCAGGGGCAGGGGTGCTGGACGTCAAGTATGAGTCCCCGTCCACACTGCTGTCCTGTGGCTATGACACCTATGTTCGCTACTGGGACCTCCGCACCAGTGTCCGGTGAGTAGGCTGGATGGGGGGGACAGCCCCATGGCCTGGGAGATGAGCCACCGGGCCCTCACAAGGGCAGGCCTTTCTCAGCCCATCCTAGTATCTGGCCAGCCTGAGGTGTCTCTTCGCTCCCTCCCAGGCCTGTGACATGGAGCTGGCCCTGTGAACACACTGCCTGCTCTGCTCTGGGGCTTGGGGAGTGTCCTCTACAGACGTCACCTTCCCCGGCTAGTTGGGTTGTGTAAGTGGCGTGTGCTGGCAATCCTACCAGGACGGGAGGGCTACAAGCTGCAAATATGAGCCCAGCCCAGGCAACTAAGTCACTCAGTGAGATGGCCTCAAAATAAAAAAAATTAAGGGCTGGGGTAGGATGTAGCTCAGTGTGAAGGCCCTGGGTTCACTCCCATGGCAGTGACAGCAGAAGACCTGTGATTCAGGCTTCTGTCCAACCCAGAATGGCTCCCCAGACCTCTGGGGAGGCACCCCAACCTCCCTGCATCTTCCCCACATAGGAAGTGTGTCATGGAGTGGGAGGAGCCCCATGACAGCACCCTCTACTGCCTGCAGACAGATGGCAATCACCTGCTGGCCACAGGCTCCTCCTACTATGGTGTTGTGCGACTCTGGGACCGGCGCCAGAAGGCCTGCCTGCACGTAAGTATCCTCTGGCCTCCTGCCTGAGGTGCCAGGATGTTCCAGGAGCTGACTAGAGGAAGCGACACTGGCATGTGTCCCTGTTCCTCTGGGTGTGGGAATCCTGGGTTCAGCACCCCCGGTTCTCCCTTGGAAAAGCCACCACTTCCTGTGCCCTCCCCACCAGGCCTTCCCGCTGACGTCCACCCCGCTCAGCAGTCCTGTGTACTGTCTGCGGTTCACCACCACGCACCTCTACGCTGCACTCTCATACAATCTGCACGTCCTAGACTTTAAGAACCCTTGATGGGCCACCCCACCTGTGTGCTGAGCCTCTTCTGCCTGGAGCCTGTGTGACGCTTCTTTCCTTCCCCCACTGTGCTCCTGGACCTGCAGCCACAGTGCTTGGCCCCTGATGCCAGAGGTGATGTCTCCTGGGGCACTCCCGAGATCTGTGGGCAGACAGGATCTGCCGCTGGAGTTTGGCCAGAGTGAGGGTCTGTCCTAGGGAAGGCCAGTCCTGCCCTTGCTGCGCTTCCTGAGCAGCCTGCAGGTGAAAGGGAGCCGCCCTGCTGGCACTGGTCGCCTCCTGTCAGACCCCTCAGTTTGACCAGCCTCCTGGGGCATTGCAGCCTGTTTCACCTGGGTTCTGAGCTAACCCTACACCTCAGCAGGCTGCGAAAGCATGTTCCTTTCACCTTTGTGAAAATAAAGTTCGGTTGTTTGGCAGATCTAGTTCCTCACTGGCTAAGGTGTGCTGGGAGAAGTGATGGAGGTGCTGCGGAAAAGACCAGCCTCAGCCCTGTCCCCAACAACAAAGCTTTTTTCTCTTCAGAAGTGCTGGGCCCTGGCCCACCACCCTTTTAGCTTTGATGGGGGCCTGTGGGAGGACTGCAGGCTGTGGAGGTGTTAAACTGCTGTCACCTGTGGTCACCTCAACACATATCACCCTTGCAAGGCTGTGAGCCTTATCCTAAGCTTTTCACCCAAAATATCTTAATATTCTAGTTGTTTCCAAGGTTTCTGCATTTTCAAAACTCCTCCCTTACCCACACTTACCTTAGGGAGTGTCTTCTGAGTGACTTCTGTAGACAGGTTGGAAGAGAGGCCCTGCCCCGCTGGGTTCCCAGCCTCTTTGTGAGGCAGGAGGGTTTATGTTGAGAGTCGCCAGGACAGAGAAGGGAATGTCACAGCACTGCCCTTCCCAGGGAGGCCAGGGGCCCAGGCAGGTAGCACACAAAGCTGGACAGATGGGCAGCCCACCTGCAGTAACTCAGGACTTTACTTGGGAAGTGAGACTGTGAGCTGGGGCGAACAGTGCTCCTGGGCCAGTTCTCCAGGCTCTGGGTGGCTGCCCTACACCGGCAAGGCCAGGCCAGAAGTGTCACAAAACCCTCCACCATCGAGGTGTAAGGCAGGGCCAGCTACTGGGTCTTACAATCTCCATCACTGCTGTGGGCCGTCTGGACCTTCTTTAGCTCCTTCTGTAGCTCTGACTCGGCCATCAAGATCTCCTTCGGCTTCTGATACTGTGGGTAGAGCCAGAAAGAGGAAAGTTCAGTTACACATTCATACTTGGGCCCCTTCTGACCCCGTACTGCACAGGAAGAAACAGAGGCACACACAGTTGAGTGATCTGCTCATCACGTGGCTGAGTGGGAGCATTCCTCCGGCCAGAACCCAGGTCCCCATCCACCTGTGCCCACACAGCTGTGAGCCCTTGCACCATGGAGTGAGGAGACACTAAGGACTGGGAAGTGGGCAGGGAAAGAGGAGCCTCTCCCCCACGTAGTAGTAGGAAGTCTGGGCGAATCTTACAGAGATTATCAGGGTGCAGTTGGCATGAGCAAAGCTCAGCAAGGACTCATCCAGGGGTAGCTGGTGTCTGTCTAGGTCAGGAACGGAGAACTTCTTGTAGTACCTGTGGGGACACCAAGAGGCCATTGGGGCACCTAGCGAGGTGACCCCAACATTTGGGTACCAGGCCCTTTGCTATCAAGCTTCTACGCAGTTCTCCCCCACCTTCCACATGGCCCAAGGCAGAGGGGAAACCAGGTAGAACAGCAGCCTTTTAGAGTCTGGTGGCCCTGGAGAGGAGAGGATGCCGCCCGCATGGCCTATCCAACACGTGGCACAGAATCAGTTAGTGGCATTATTGGGCAGGGGTCCAAGTGACTCCCGCCACAGGACTCAGACTCCCCCAGCTGACAAAGGCCTCGGATACTTGGGGCCTTTTCTGCATCCCGAGCCTTGTGGGGGAACAGAATACAGGATGTATGTCCTAGCAAAGGGACAATAAAGACAGTAGTTTTGGACTATCCCAAAGCTGGGGATCCACAGTCACCATTCACATGGGGCTTCTGCTGAAGGCCTCAGCCACCCTTTCCTCTTCTGGGGTCTTTGAAGAGGCTCTGTTATTCTGACTCATAAATCAGAAAGTACACCTGCAACAGAAATCTCCTGGGAGGACAGACCATGACTTCTCACAGGAAGCTGGACCTTGGGTTCTGGACTACCTCACTGGCCTCGAGACCACACCCCTGCATTATCACACTCCACACAGGTGCCAGGTCAGGCATTAATGATCCCTTTTAGTAAAACAAGCAAACAAAAAGCAACACCGAGCCTGTGATATGATCAGTGGACTTCCAGGGAACTTGAGCCCTTTGTCAGAGGAAGCTGCTTGGGGAGACCCTGTCTCTCCTGCTTCGCAGCCAGCCTGTCAGTGGATTCAGAAGCAGGGGTGGTGGACAGCGCCTCGCTCCTGCCTCGTGCCCCCCATCCTTTTTTTTTTTTTTTTTTTT